AAGTTGTATTTCAATAATGAATTGTAAAAATATGTTCAGGATATAAGAGTGAAAACTATGCAAAGTTAAATTAAGAAAGAATACAACGAAAAACTAAGGAGCTAAAACATTTTGTTTTTAGTTAACCATCTTAGGAAATTATATTTAATACATTCCAAATATCTATTAGGTTATTTGTCAGCATTTTAGCTCTTTTATTAATCTTTATTAATGCACCAACTTAGCATTTTGCATTTTTTAAAACCATCTTCAATAAACATCAGGACAATACTTTAGCACTGTAACTGCCTAGCCCACTTGCTTGCGCTTAACCATCTCTGGATGGTAAGTACAATAAACATCAGGACAATACTTTAAATGCCTAGCCCACTTGCTTGCGCTTAACCATCTCTGGATGGTAAGTACAATAAACATCAGGACAATACTTTAAATGCCTAGCTCACTTGCTCACTAGCACAGATTGCGAGTCCATTGCTCTAACCACCGTTTAACCATTTCTGGATAGTAAATACAATAAATATCAAAACAAAACTAAAACAATATAAAAACGTTGTAGTTCAAATAATTAATTAGTGCAATAGCAATTATTTTAAAATAAATTTATTTTGCACTCACTTAAATAGACTTTGATGTACCCCCTCGTGGCACAGCGGCATGCCTGCGGACTTACAATGCTAGAAACTAGGTTTCGATACCCGTGGTGGGCAGAGCACAGATAGCCCATTATGTAGCTTTGTGATTAACTACAAACAAACTTAAACTTCAAAAACATCCCATACGAGCTAATTATGTTAATTAGATATCTTTCAATACAACCATTGAATATCGTATTTTTCACTTAGTCTCTTCATTTTGAAAAAAAAAGCTATCAAACGATAATACCCTTTTCCCACACAGTTGAAATCCCATTTTCCTATACGTACATTTTAACTTGCAATTACTTATTGTTCTGAACTTCAGTCGAAATTCTACCCACTTATCCTACTTGACAGAATGGTTCTAGAAATATTGTCAGAATGGTTGAGCAATTGGCTTGTCAACATTATTTCACAACTTGTTTCATTAACGAATTTTTAAACGTGGTGTAACAGCATAGCTTTACAGCATGGTAATACGTGATTATTTTGTAGTGTGGTTAGATAATTTGGTTTGTATGTATTGTTCGACAATGTAGTTTGTAAGTATTTTTGACAACATGATTTCCTAGCATGATTTTATAACGATTTTAGCATGATTTTTTACAAGATCCTTTGACAAATATTATTGCATAGTTGGCTAACATGGTTTGTATTCATTGTTTAATAGCATAGTTAGCCCACATGGGTTGTCAACGTTAAGTAAAAGCATGGTTAAACAACACGGTTGACACTCTCGCTATACAATACAATTTGACATCTTGGTGAGACAACCTAGTTTGTTATCATTGAGTAACAGCATGTTTAGACAACGCGGTTGATATTGTCGCTACAAAATACATTGTGTACATTGACATCTTGGTTTGTTATCATTGTTTAACAGCATGGTTTGTCGTCCTTGTTTAACAGCATATTTAGACAACATGGTTGATATTGTCGCTACACAATACATTGTGTACATTGACATCTTGGTTTGTTATCATTGTTTAACAGCATGGTTTGTCGTCCTTGTTTAACAGCATATTTAGACAACATGGTTGGTATCGTCGTCAGATAATGTGATTTAACCTATTGGTTAGACCAACTAGCTAGTTTGTTGTCATTGTTTAACAATGTGGTTGCATAACATAAATTTCCCAAAGACTGTAACTTGGTTCTCTAATCAACCATGAATGGTACGTATTTCTAAGGTAACTGAAATTTATTTTAGCGGGTAAGTCTTGAAAACGAAGAGAACAACGCCAAGCTTATTACTTTTCCATAGGGAAACATACATGATTACACTCACCGGCTCTTACTTAAAATATCATTTTATGAAAAAAGCAAACAGTCAAATAGCATTTATTACTCTCATATGTAAATTTTAGTTACAAAAGATTTTAATTTCAGTAGGAAAGCAGAGTGTAAAAAACATTTTCTCAATTGTTACACAAAAGTCTGAAAAGAACAGGTAATTTATACATTTATATTACAATGCTTTAATGGAAAGATATTGTGGAAGTTTCCGAAAGACTTTTAGTAAGACGGCTTTCTATATTCAATGAGAAAAACATATATAAGTAAACAAAAGAAATGGAAGACTGTTATCGAGCCAGATAAAATGTTTATGAAGATACAGATTAATAGAGGTTGAACATCCAATGGTTTTGTTCTTAAAAAGTGTTACTTTTAATGGCACTGAGATGTAACATTACTGGATCTTATTAAGGGGGTTTACGTTTGACTTGATTAATATACTAAGTTGTTTTAACAAGAAGCGAAAGAAATCTTCTAGAAATCAGCTATGTTTTGTTATTCAACTGCTAGTTTAGCTTGCCTATGTAACTGAATATAGCAACTGAAATAATACTTTCAGAGAAAAGACAAAACTATGCTAAACATACATAACTATGTTCGTAACAACACAATAGATACATTTTATTTCTTAGAACAAAGAAAAAATTATACAATTAATTCTTTGGAGAGTTAACAGAACAAATGATGCCTTTATAATCACATTATATTAAGCATATCTATTATGTAGGCGTGTCTCTACTAGTCCCGTCCGGGACTTAACATTATCAAAAACTTACTCTGTGTGTGTGTGTGTCTTATACAGTTATTATATGGCACAGTGCTTGTATATAGCTCAACAAAGTAGTGGCATAAGTTCAGTTTATAGATTTTAATTTTGATCAAAATAAAACTGGAATGTCAGAAATTCGTTAACCTTATGCTTATGACATGTTGACATATTTACTTTTACTGCACAAACCAGAATATTACAAATTAATTAATCTCAGCTCATGACATGCGGGCATGTTTACTTTTATTATACATACCATAATACGAAAAAGTCGTTAATCTCACGCTCATGACATGTGGATATATTTACTTTTACTGTATAAACCAGAATATCAGAAATTTGTTAACCTCACTCTCATGACATGTGCACTCGACTAAATAAAGGATTTTTAAAACTAGGGTGCGACCAGCCATTTTCGATGCATTTATTAAACAATTAATAAACACGTACATTATTATCGGAAGCACAGTTTTTTGGGTATAAGTACAAAATAATATGACTTGAAGACTAGTTTAGCACACAGGCTTGAAACAACATTTAGTTTCACCGTTGCATTGTTATATCTAGTAAAGTTTTCAGGGAATTGAAATATTTCTTTAAAGTTGTTTGGGACAGGATTATGTATTCAAGTGTTAGTTCTGCTATTCATACGAGAGACGAAAACACTAGTGTACAGGGGTTTGTAATACATACATATAGATTATTATAAAGACACAATATTGCTTTATTTTTAATATTAATTACACAAAGTACTGTATGAACGAACAAAAAGGAACTAAAACTCTGAGGAGAATTTCTGTTACACTGGTTTAGTTAGCTCATATTTTTAATGTATCAGTATTAATAAACTAGATGACTACTTATATTCCTTCGGACGGTTAGCGTTTTTAATGCATCTGTTTCCATTTGGTGATTATCAATTTTGAGGCCTAACGGTCCAATATAGTGCGACGTATTGTTTAAATATATTATTCTTCAATTAGTTATTGGACTTGCACCTTATCTGACTTATCATATCATTGTTTTGATGTCTTCAGTTACAACAGTCAGTTACTGGAATTAAATAGGCCTTATATTTATTATCATTTAACTTCCGTTGGCAAATTACTGATTCAATTCAATTAAGGAGTTATCGTTATTAACACCTTAGATTCGATTAGGCCTCTATTACCTTAAAGCTTCAGATTCCATCAGACCTATATAGATCTACATACCTCAGATTCTTTCAGGTAGATATTTTTTAGTCTTTGATCAGATCAAACTGTTAGTCTTATTAGAAACCCTATATTTAATCATGCGTTTATTATCTTTATAGATTTGCTTCATTAAATAGTTACTCTTGCTTCTATGCAAGAAGTTTCTACGAATAACAAACATAACCTCATGCAAGTAGCTAATGAGAAACAAATATAACAGATCAACGCATACTAAGAATCACATATACAAAGGGAATGCTCCCGTTAAACTACATTAACCAAATAAATTGTTTTTAGAGATGTTGCTGTTGCTACATCAGTAACCAGAATAAAGAGAATCAATAGTACAAAAGTGCATTTTCATATATATCGTTAAGAAAATATTAACCAACAGATTAATTTTTTCAAAGAATTATTATAAAGTAAGAATCACTCTTTATCAAAATGATGGTATTATAAAACATATATTACACGCACACTTCGCCAAACCGTTTGTGTTGTAAAACATATATTACCTGCACACTTCGCCAAACCGGGAACACCGAGCGATGGAAAGAGCTTTGTTTGAGAAATTTAATGTTTCAGTGTAAAATAATATCGTAGATAAATATTTTCTTGGTTGGCTGTTTTCTTAGCCCAAAGTAATATAGCAGACTATCTACGCTCTGTCCTCCGTCTGCAATTGAACCCCGGGTTATAATGGTGTAAATTCGGAGACACACCACTGACCCAATTGGTAATATTTCCTTGAAGTGCGGTCACTGATTACTTATTATTTACTATGAAAAACAAGGTTGTTGATTTTCTTTTTGCTGTAAAATAAATTGATGCTCACCAGAAAATAGAAACAAGAAATTACAACACTATTCTAATTTACTGGTTCTATATACGCTTTCATTTAAATATATATATATATGTATTTCCTACTTGTTTACCAAATAAAAAGTTCATAAAAACGTTCTTAGCTAGATAATATATAAAGAGATTCAACTCTTATAATTTTTCCATTAAATCACAAAAGTCAAGCTAGTGGGCCAAGAAAAAATAAAGTGAAATGATTCAAGCTTACTTTCGAGAACACAGAGTGATTTCAAACAATTTTACCTTTGATGCGTCAGTTCAAGTAATGTTAGACGCTGTGTGCCTTACTCAGACTTTCACCAAATATTCCCAGACGGCCTTATTGATACACAGAGAAGGTCTAAATGGGATTGTTTCCTGAAAACGGTGAGAACTTTCAGTAGTCCATTACCCAAGCGTTCTCCATCCAGTATTATGAGATGCTCTTCTCGTGTTCCAGTTCTTGAGAAGGATTCAAAAACAGAATAAGCGTTGAACTTCAAACTCTCGTGCTAGCCATCCATTCAGCACGTCTGAACCAATCAATAGAATCTTCCGTTGTATTACGACGCACCCTGGGTATTTATGAAGACTATATGTATAGATTTTCAATGTAAAACCGATGCAATCTCATTTCATGAGGGAATTCTCTGGTGTCAGCGTCACGCTGTTTTCTCCATTTACCGTGCTGATCCCAAGGAATGAGTGAGTAAGACTGAAATAAAATACTGTGACAAAAAATTA